CCCCCGCCGCTACCCCACACTTGTTAGCCCTCCCAATAATCCTCGACCTCTCCAAATTGGGCTCACTCTTGCTATTTTGCAGCCACCAGCCAAAATGTAGCAGCTCGCAAGGACACCTGGATTCGAGTGGATTTGCACTCCCGTCCCGTTCCGCTCCCGCAGACAAGAATCAAACGGGATCACCCCCCACCCCGCCCGGGACCACAGAACAGGAAGTGGGAAAAGACTCCATTTTTGTTGGCTCGGCCACGCGCGTTTCGCTCGACGGTCGACGACGTTGGCTGATTTGGATTGGCCTACCTTGATGTCGATGCCCCGCGCCGCCGACGAGCTGTTGAAGAAGCGCGAGGGGATCTTGGAGGACATGTCGGGCTCGTCCCTCCCGAAACCCAAATTCAGCAGGATCTCCTCCGGGTCTTCCTCGTACAGGTCCAGCAGCTCCGACACGCTGCGGGCGCGCCGCCGCACATGCAAGTCAGCGCAATCACTCCGCGTTTCATAACCACCAATCGGCACTCGTCGGCGTCATCATCGGAGTAATAATCATGAAAAGAAAAAAATATTTTTGATAGACATCTCGTTTGTGTTTTGAAGTTATCGATAAAATGAGAAGGTCAAGAGAGAGAGAAAAAAAAATCCTGCCAAAATGTTGAAAATCAAATCACGAAAAGACAAAAGGAGCCCCAAAACGGAGAAAGTCAAGTGGTCCGTCCGGGTGGGGCCGTCGGCTAGCAAAGTGAGCGGCCACCGCGCTCTCGAGATGCTAATCCGCCGGATGACCCGCGACAAGAGGAAGGAAAAGCGGCAGCCGGCGATGGGCGTGCCCGTCGGCGGCAGCCGGCCAGGTACCCACCTGGACACGGTGCTGCTCTTTCCGGATCCGGTGGAATTCATACTTCGGCCTTTTTCTTTGTACTGACCCCTCTTCTGATCGGCGGCCAGACTGCCACTGGGGGGGCGAAACGGGAAGTGAGCCGAGCCGGCGCGCTGAGGAGGAGGTGGAGGACACCCGAGACCGAGAGGACTCACCGGGATCCCGTCTTCTTGTCGATGGACTGAAGATGGTCGGCTGCAATCGCACCAAAAGAACAACGTCAACGACGACAGGAGGCACCGCTGACGAATACGAGTCATCCCGACGCGACCAAAACCATTCCGCTCAAGGGGCCCCGTCGCATACGCTTCCTTCCGCTTCCCGCGGCGGCGGGAGTCACGTCAAGTCAGGGTGCCCCGCGGCCGACTCCAGCTCAGATCGCAAAAGGATTCGGTCTGCTCGCGCCGAGCACTTGGGGAGAATAGTTTCTGTTGAGAGGTGGAAATTCGGAGGATCCGGACAGCGCTCGTTCAAACGACGGTTCCGAGCGATTCATGGAGCGGCAAAAGAGCTGCGGCTCACGGGGGAGCCGCCCGATCACCTCTCGATGCGTTCAAATCGGACGCGCGCCAACGAAGGAGTGAAGACGGAGTTCATCGGATTGCCTTTTTCACGTCAAGCGTCGGGGCAGGTGTGAGTCATCGGCGCCCCCCCCCCCCCAAAAGACCTCACGGTGAGTACGTGAGCCCCGCAGAGCGCCGCGGTGGATTTCAAAGGATGACATTTGCTTGCTTTTTCAGCCTGTCGGGGCTCGTCTCACTCTCACTTGCGAAATCCTTCCTTGCCAAAGAAGCTTCGTTTCTCCGCAGGCTAAACGCGCGCACGCATGCAGCAGCAGCAGCAGAGACTTCAGCTGTCAACTCCGAAGCTTCACTCGCTGACTTTCTGGACTCCCGCTAGCCTCCTCATCCTTTGGGTATCACACCGCTCGCCTGTTGCCGGAGGTCAGCAACCTTCAAAACTCGGACCGGAATCGGATTTACGGGCTGCAAGGACGCAAGAAACACACACGGGATTTACTTCCCGGCGACAACCCAGTTCAGAAGAACCCAGACAGGGAAGACAACAAGAACCAACGTGGGGGAGACAACAAGAACCGCTGTGCAGGAGCCATTTCCACCCTTTTGACAGCGAAAGTCAGGAGGGCACTGCGCATCCCGTTTTCCTTCCCTCTTGTAGAAGAAACTATTTTGGGGCGGGGGGGGGGCGTCAAGTCCCATCCTGCATCAAACAGTCCCCAAGAAACCTGCACTGGCCGTCGCTCTGATGCCCCTTGAACAGCTCGTGCTCGAGCACCTAAAGTCAGCAGGCAACAACTCGTCGGCGCGGGGATCTACGCAGGGCTCCTGTTTGCGGACTTTGGCTCCGCGTTCATCCGCCTCCTCGTCACCATGCCGGAATTCCTCTCCGGCTCAGCCTGTCTCCCTCGCGCCATCCGCCAGTGGATCATGACGGGTGGCGCGCAGCAGGTGAGACGACGACGGCGACATCCTCCTCCTCCTCAACGGACACCATCAGCGCCGGGGCCCCGCTCCCTCCGCTGCTCTTCTCCCACGACACACCAAGCAATCAAACGCCGCGCGCTCGCAGACGACACCGCAGTCGTCCGCCTCGTCCACGAGTCCGCATATGGAAAGGAAGTGGAGTGGCCGCCGCTCCGGTGCGGCTCGCGCAACTTGGGAGACGACGGTGGATTTCAGCAAACATCCTCGGTCGCAGTCGGCCGTCACGCCGACCGACGACCCGCGTGTCAGCGACGGTCTCTCGGGACCTGAAGCGGGAGACCGATATCAAGTCCATCCCGACAAAGGCGGCGCCGAGGATGCTGCGCCTGCTGAGGAAGAGTGGCCTGCCGCAGGAGCCGTTGAGGCACTTCTGTCCATGACTCGTCGTCATTCAAATCGGTTCTGCGTTCATCCTTTGCGGTCTGGTTTGGGGCCGCGCCCCCCCAAAAAGAACAAAATCCGACTGCAATGCAGTCGATAAAATCATTGGTTATCCAGCTAAGTCTTGAGGACCTGCAGGTAATAAGAACTAAGAAAGGGTGGGCAAAATTCTCTCGGACCCTCCACATCCGGGTCACCGCCTCTTCCAGCTCCTCAGGTGAGCACTATCCAACCACGCACACCAAAAGCCCCCCGCCATGCACTTGCGTGGCATCGGGAAGTCAAAGAATGGCGAGCTACTCACCTTCAGCTCCCAGCGAAAGGTCATCTTCAAAGCTGCAGCCGTTCTTGGCCGGCCCTGTTGGCCGGTGACAAACGCTGGCGTCAATCCTTTTGCACGCGCACTCCAATTGGTCGTCGTGCCGAGGGAGTGCTTACCTTTGCACGCAGGTGCGCTCTGATCGTCTAGCGACACAGCCAGCGGCGTCCTGATAAACACAAAAAGAAAAACATGAAGGGGGGGCCAGATCTCTCGCACAGAAAAACAAACAAAAAAACAACCCACCCCTCTCAGAACATCTCTCTACATTCACCCACACACACACACACACACATATGACAAGGTTAGGTAAGAAAACAGGCTAGGCTAGCTCCTTTCTCTGGCTCCAGGTGAAGGAATTGCTTCTGTGACACTAACTCGCGGTCACGCCACAAGCCAAGGCTGACACGTCCTGCTGTATGCTAGCTAACCCTGACTTACCTGTCCGGCAGGCTACACGTTCGTCCGCGGCAGCGCAGCGTGCGGGTCAGCTGCTGATTGGACCGGCCCGGCGCGGCCCAGACCCGACTCGACTAGACTAGACCGGACTGACCGGCTGAGAGCCGCTTGGTGACTGAGCTAGCGGCAGCCAGACACGCTTATGCAAGACGACACGCTTATCAATGGGACAAACTTCATGCTAGCTTCACACACACACACAAAAATTACACACCCATTTTTTTTTCTCACGCCTTCACAAGAGGACTTTTTATCTCACCTACAAATTTCAACATTCTTACAATCAGCTATAAACGCACACACTTATTTACGCAAAGTCATCCTCTTAATATGCAAACACACACACACACACGTTCGCACCAATTTGCAAAACACACATTACGAGGCACATTCGCACACAAACCCGCATAATAAAAGCTTGCGTAACTTGGGGCAGCCGCCACGTTCGCACGTCCTCCAGCGGACGGCCATGTTGGGCCCCGTGGCGGTTGTCAGGGTAATGAGTGATTTAGCAACACAGTAACACTGTGCGTGCATGTGTGTGTGTGTGTGATAAGAGTGTTGACTCAGCAGGAGAAGAAGCAACTCCTCCTTTGTTGACTTTCTCTCTCGGGTCTCGACAGCATTTGACAGCGTCTACTTGGGCGTGTGCGTGCGCGCGCGCGTGTGTGTATATATCTGGGCGAAGACTGTGTCGGTTCTACGTCAGCGGGCTGATGACACTAAACACACTTTGAAGCGTCGGGGGGGGGGGGAAAGAAAGAGTGTCAGCCCGTCGGTTCGCACATGAGCACGGCGTTAGCGCGGCCAGGCTGACACCTGCGCGATAACCGAGGGCGACGACTCGACTTTGGAGGGGCCGACCAATTGGATTTCAGACCTGCCGCAATTCTCATCGCGGGCCAGAACGTCGCCGCTTCGCCCTCATGCCGGAAGCCTTCATCGAAATGCCCCTAAGTGTCGTTGCGCCTTTTGCCCACCAGATGGAGCGCCGACTCCATTCGAACAGACGGGCATCTTTCCTGAGACCAATTTGATCTTCACAGAAACCAACTGTGTCCAGGCTTCAATTCGATGAGTCATTCATCCCAAAGTCGAGTGACTTACCTGCATTGGTCAAGCCAGCAGGTGATCTTGTTGGGTCCTGCAAAAGTGGCAGCGTAAGAAGAGAGACAACAGCATGCCATCCAAACGGCTTAGCCCACCCCATTGCCTCCTCCCCAAAAAAATTACATTAAATATATAAGAATCCCCTGAAGCTTCCGTCACGGTGACTAATGTGTGTGTGTGTGTTTCTTTTTTTTTGCTTTGAGGGTTTTTGGTTTGTTTTAGTAAATGCCGTTGACAAATAAGCGCGGGGAGGCGAGAAAGACGCACAAAAGTCAACAGGTGGCGTGTTGAAACAAGAGCAACCAAACATTGCCATCCAAAACCACTGCGCCGCCAGGGAAATACCTGACTGGCATCGTACGGGCTGCGCTCAGCATAACAGCTAGCGGCAGGCTAACGAGCGCAAACAGTCACGAGATGAAAATCCTCCAGGGTAAAGGCGGCGCAAATACAAACATCTTGCTTTCATAAAACAAGCCCATCCTATCCGGAAGCATTTGTGGCAAGTCGGACGCTGCTAGCGTAGCGCTTCGCACAGCGGCCCCGAATGCCGAGCAATAGGCGTCTTGAAAAAGTAGTTCGTAGCGCGGTCTTAATTGCGGTCGTTCACGACAGCATTAGGTTGGCCGAGCAACGTGCCTGGCCTCACCGTCTTCGCCTCTCTCTTATTGAAATCGTTTCGTGAGAACTACCGTTGGAAGAAGAAATGTCGCTTATTCGCCGCCATGAAGGCTGCGATGACTGACTTCAGCCCCGAGCACACTCGAGGGCCAGAGTTTGCAAAGATCGCAAATGTTGCGTTCTCGTCAGGGTTCGTTCAAGGTCGCAGACATTTGCCAAACGGTCGCCAGACGTCCGCTTGGTCATCTATCTATTACCGAGACCAAAGAACAAGATTTATCAACAAAAAACACATCGAACTACCAAATCCCATTCACCGGATCTAGCGGCGGGATCAAATAATTTGATCTATCACCAGGACCAAAGAACGAGATCATCACCAAGACTCGTGACTTATATCTGTCACGAACATCACAGAATCTGATCTTGCACAAGATCCAAGGACCAGACGACCAACAACATCAAAGACAACTGTTGTCTGAGTGTAAATGGTGAGGCTGACCTGGTTCTTCAGAGGTCTTCTTCGGAGCTCCGTTGGACTCACTGCAGTCTGGCAGGGCTTCGTGCGAGGATTTCTGCTGGGGTTCAGACGTCTGGGCTTTTTGCGTATCCTGCCAAGTGGACTCCCGACTCTTGGCCCAGGCCCGCCTTCTTACGGACGCCAGGGTGCATTTAGGAGCGGCGCTGCCATCTGAAGGTCCCAATGGGGAACCACAACAATGAGTCATCAAAGATCACGTGACCAAACCTGACAGGTATGGAGGAGGAGGAGGACCTGGAGGCGGGACCGGGTCCAAGAGGATGGCAGTACTCTCCATGGTTGCGACGGCAACATCCACAGCTACTAGTGGACCTGTGAGGACACAAGAAGAGAAAGGGAACCATGAGAACCGGGTAGAACAATGGATGAGTTGAGACAACTGGAACCATGACAACCAACAGATCTGGAAGTACCGAAAGAACCACTGGAAGGAGACGAAACCACGGAGACCAAATCAAGCAAAACGGCAGAATTACCGGAGTCACCGGGAGAACTAGAGCCATTGGGAACACCGAGACCACTGGGAAACATCGTCGGGACCATTGGGACCATAGAGGTCACAGAGACCACTGGCACCATGAGAAGCACAAGTACGACTAGAAGCACCGAGACCACTGAAACTAATGGCACTATTGGGACCGATAGAACCGCTGATCTTAGCGGAGCCATAAAAGGTCACTGGCACCGCTGGCCCTCGGCAGATCCGCTGGGACCAAATGGACCACCGGCATCAGCGGCACCAGTGAGAACCACTTTGACCAACTGGAAACGTACGAACCACTGGCACCACTGGGAACAGTTAGAGCCATTGAAGCCACTTGAAGCCCTGAGACCACTGGAACCATAGAAGCCACGGTGAACCACCGGGAACATTGAGACCACTGGAAACAGAGAGACGACTGGGAGTCTTGAGGCCACAAGAACCACGGGAACAATTTGAAAGACTGGACCTGGACAATGATGGCTAAGGACGCTACAAAGGAAGACCATGGCCAAAAATAGATGAGCTGGGACGGAGGACGTGTGAAACAGGAAATAAGTGTTTACAGCCATCAGCACAACAACTTCCTGTCTGGAGTGTGCGTGGTGTGCATGTGTGAGATTTTCATAAACAAATTCAAGGCATCAACACAGAGGCACGCTTATGCAAACTCACTCACATGGACAAATGCACTTAAAATTCCTCGAAGTGTAAACGACGGTACCCCATTGTCCTTTGAGGCGTCTAAGTGCGGCCGTCGTGGCGCAGTTGGTTTTCAGGTACTTTTATTTGTTTGTTTTCCAATTTTTAAAGAGCTCCTCCACCCCTGAGGAACCTGCCCGGTGCCTCGGGTCTGCGGACCGGACGCGAGCGGACGTGTCGAGGACTCGGCGCAGGCTCAGAAGGGGGTGGAGCCTTTTCCGTAGCCGGTCTTTCCGTCCGGAATGACCTTCCGTTAAACGTAAGACAAGCCCCCTGGCTGTCCGTTTTTCTCACATCAGTTCTTTGAAAATTGTCATTTGGTTTTACCGTGACATCGTGACATGTTGCATGCGGAATGTTTTCAAAGTATTGCAAAATCATTGATCTTGGCATTAAACACGACGCAACTGAACAAACTAGTTAGTGGCATTTTATAAACGTTTAAGAATGTCACGACACGCTAATTAGGAACACTATATCAAGACAAACCGTTTCGTCAAACTCCAAGAACCCTTTCACATCTGTTCAATGTCGTGAGTGGCATTTTAATCACGTTTCTCCTTTCTCAGGAGCACTTTGAAACAGTCAACCATGCCTACGTCACATCTCGGCTGGACGACCGCAACGCACTTGGACTTTGGAGTCGACCGATCCTCCATAAAGCGTCTCCGGTGGGTCCAGAATGCTGACCGATACTCATAAGCGGGAGCGCATAACTCTGACATCCCGACACGGGCTCCCTGCACAACTCGTTTGATCGTCCTGCGGTTTGTTTTCAATTCTTGAAATGGCCTGGCCCCACCTTGATTTTTCGTTGGACGGTTTTTTTTTTGCGCTTTCTACAGTCTTCGTGATTATTTTATCGTTTGTTGTTGCGTGACTTCTTTTTGCTCCATGTACAGCACTTTGTATACGGGCGCTGGTTGTTTACCGGTCGTCCAGAACCACACTTGAGTGGAGCTGAATTGTATGTCTCATGAAATGCAAGTGACAAGTGCCACCGATTCGTTTGCGCATCCGAGTTAAGGCTTTTCAAGTACGGCGACATCATTTCTCTTGACGTGGACATTAGCCAAAGTGTGAGTGACACAACTTTCCCGACCTGGTGTTGACGTTCGACGTCACCGCGCAACTTGTGCAGCCGATTACACAAGTTGAAGGCTTCTCGGTGCTGCCTGCCTGCCTGCCTGTCACCACTGTCGCAAACGCGACTCCGGCACAAGTTTAGCGCGTCGCTAGCCACACGAGCTCCCGGTTCACCAAATGAAGACTCCAAGTCGTGAGACCAAAACATCGCGATTAGTGAGGAGTTCGTCCGGCAAAAAAAACAAAAAAAACAAAACGTCACGAACAAGTTCATCAAGTTTTGGGGGCGAAAGTTGAGCGAAGGGGGCGGGCTGCCAACTAACTTTTTGGGGTGAAATGTTTGTCCAAGTTGTCAGCCGGCGTGGAGTCGCGGCGCTCACCTTCTTCATTGTTGGCCTCGCGTCCGTCGGCTGCGAGTGAGAAAAGTGTCAAGGGTGGCGAAGATTTGTCAAGAGTCGACTCGTCCTCCTCCTCCGTCGTCTCGGCTCGAGTCTCGCATTCCTGCTTCCGCTTCCTCCTTCGTGCCCAGCGCGAGAGGAAAAATAAAAGGGGAAACAGCACCCTCTGGCGAACCGCCGCCGCCTTGCAGCGTCCAGAATGTGATTGGAAAATACTGGACCGGACTGTGATCAGACGTGAATGGCCACAGCGCCATTTTATGATACGGCACAAGCTAGGCGCCAACTGCGAGGAGCAAGTGCCTGCCTGCCTCTCAACAACCCCCGACATTGCTTTGCTTTGCTTTCTGAATGGACATCGACTTTTTTTTTGGGGGGGCGGGTAACTCACTCTCCATGTCTAAAGGAAGAGAATGTGCCTTGAATTAGACTTTGAGGTGTTTTGAATTCATGGTCCAAAATGGCTAGATTTGACAGTTGGAGTCAAATGTTTTGATTTCTAAATGAATAAAGACGATGACATTTTTGGAATGGGAGACGTCGGTGTCGCACGATGCAGCCGCATTTCGCCGACGAGGGAGAGAGGCAGTTACCGTACAAACATGATGGTGGAGAGCGGCCGATAAAGAATGACACGCACGCTCGCTGTTCTTGCTGTGCTGACAATCACGCTTTATTCAATCAATAATGGAGGAAAAAACCCCAGGAGGCTGCGAAAAAACAAAACAAACACCCAAGTCGAGAGGAGGAGGGCCTCCCCGCGAGTGAGGGTCCCCCGGACGCGGGAGAGCCCCACGGGGCCGCCGCACGTGATGGCGTTTGGACGGAAGGCCGGGCGCTGGTCTACACACTAACACGCACGCACGCTGCAGGCCTCCCGGAGGAAGCGCCGCCTCGGGCCACCGGCGCGGCTCGAGGCCCCCCCGCGAGGGTGGCGGGCCGCGGGCCGGGCGCCAAAGGTCGGACGCTCAAAACAAAAAAAAAAAAAAAAAAAAAAAAAAAAACCAAAACGGCCCAGGGGGGGGCAGGCCCCC